GTCCATAGAGGAAGGAACTGGAAAAGAAAGAAGGAAAAAGGTTGTCTTGGGGCCAGCAGGTGGCGTGATAGTTGAGGGCGCTGGACTCCCACATGACTAACTGCAGTTCGAGTCCTGGACCTGGTAGCTTGCTTACTTTCTCACTTTCCCTCTCTCTCATTCTGCCCCTCTCTTGTCAAATTAAAATAAATAAAGTTAAAATAAAAAATAATTCTTTAAAAAAAAAAGATAGTCTTATCCAGTGAGATAGAGGCATTGAAAAAGAGCTAATTAGTACATGGTAATGGGGTTTCCTGTTCGTAGTGCAGCCTTGAAATCACACTCCGTCCTCTGAGCGCCATGACGCTAACCCAGGCTTATTTGTCCTTCCTGGTCCTGGATTCCATTCAATTTTATGCTTTATTTATTCTAAATTATTTGCCCGACTCCAGTGTGTATTTATTGTGCTTCATTTTTGAAATACGCTTACATATTCTTTCTACTTGAGTTTGTTTTAGTTCCAATGCTGAGGAATGAAGATTCTGGGCAAAAGAAATAAAGATGATCAATTTTTCTGAGTTTCCCATTTCAAGGATGGTTTTCTCAAAGGACAACTGGCAGTTGACTTTATTCCTCAAATGATGAGGTTTTCCATGGGAATTAGGATTTAAATGGGATAATTTGTTTTGAACGGGAAGCAAAGATTTCTTTCCAAGAGTATCAGTTTGATAATGTTTTACCAGCTAGTGCTCTGAGACCAAATATAAACCAGTTCTGAGAAACAGGAAGTGAACCTGACTGGTCTAGCCTGAGTGTCCCTGGCACTGACGCAAATACAGAAATCAAATTAGGAAAACAAGATATGTGGGTGTGAGGCAATCGATAATAATCCAGGATGCTACAACATAAGCAGGGACGCCTTTAGCCAAATGCCATTCATTTTAATAACACTCTGAGCAGTTTGATTTCCCCGTAACAGGCTGGTGATTAGACAGCAGGATGAGTCTGAGTTCCCTAGCAACCGCATGCGCTTTTGAGACAGTCATTAGCCTTTCAGCTAATCCTGTCAACCCCTTCCTTCTAAATGTATGACTGACATTTTTTTTTTAAAGATGGTGTTTCAGAAACAGTTTTGAAATTTCTAGGAGAGACATGGAAAAGAAGAAGAAGAATAAAAGTTGTCTTGAGAATTGCACCCAGGTGAAAGGAATCATGCTCCCAGGTGCCCAACCGTCCCTAAGTTTCACTGCTCTCAGTCCAGGTCTCTGAATGCCCCCTGGTAAAGAAGAGCGCAGGTGAAACTCTTCAGAGTGGAAGGCATTTTATCTCCTCATCCACCATGGAGCAATACTGCAACCTCTCTCCCAACCACAGCTCCAAAGGGCGGGGGAAGGCAGTGGGGTGGGCAGTCTGCGCCACGGGGAGGCTGCCCAGGTCGGGCAGAGGGAAGAGAACAGAGTTTTCTTTCTCCTTTAAGCCAAATGAATTATCCTGGTGGAAGGAGTATGGGGAAGGCGGGTGGTGAGGGGAATGAAGCTTTTTTTATTATTATTATTATTTTTCTATTGATTGTTTAGTGGCACCAGAGGCTGTTTGTCCAAGGCCCCCGGCCAAGAGCATGATTTTCGTGGCTAAAGTGAGATTGGGCAGGTTTCCCATCCCCTTCCCTAGTTTTAAACAAGACAACCCAGAAAGCGCAGCAAGGCTATAGGAAGATGTTGTACGCTGCTTTCGCTACTCAGCTGTACCTTAAAGCGCCAGGCCTGATGGGATGGTGGGTCTCCAACCCTGAATCATAGCCTCCAGCTCTGGTCTCGGTTCGGGATGGAACTCCACCCTCAGTGTAGCCTGGGTCAGCGGCGGGGCGCTATTCCAACAGAAATTATTGCTGCGTTCGTCTGCTCATTCTTAGGATGGCCTGGGTCCCCTTCAGCTGGGCACTAGGCTCCTTCGGAGTGGCTGGGGTGACTCCTAGAGCTCCCCGCCACCCCACCTAACCTCCCTGCGCGCTCCCCTTCCCAAGGCGACCACCTGCGCCGCCCCACTTACCATCTGCCCCGCGGGGAGGGCTCCCTGGGGTAGCGGAGCCCTCCCTGCTCCCGAGCCGC